CACACACACACACACACACACACACACACACACACACACACACACACGTATACACGCATACACACACATACACGCATACAACTGCCAGTGTGTGCAGCTGCTTCACCAGCTCCCTCCACCACTTAGATATCCATGGGCCGTTGTTCCAGGAGAACAGTGAGGGGGTCGGGTGAGCACCCCAGGCCCTGCCATTGGTATAGCCTTAGCAGCCGAGTGGTCACGGGGCAGGGTTGTACTTTTCACTATGTCTGACGGAGCTTTCTCAGCTTAACGGGCCCTTCCTGGTGCCAGAACCACTCCAGACGGCTCTCTGGTGGACTACAAGACAGCTTCTAATGCAGTGACTGGGTGGGGGGACGCATGGCGGAGGGAGGGGAGGGGAGGTCCCAGTGCCCCGGCTTCTGTCCTATAATAAAAGGACAGGCTGCTGAGGGCCTCACAGGCTTAAACCTGCAACAAGAAGCTCCTGTGGAAGTAGAGGACAGACGTTCGAAGCCCAAGTCCACGCCAAGCCCTCACATGCGACAGGCAGCTCCTACGTGCTTGCTACCAAGAATTCTGCGCAGCTGTCTTGCTTCCGGTACCCAGGGGGAAGTTGACTTGGGCAAACTTTTATTTGCCTAAGAAGAAAGCAATGAGAAATATGCATGCCAGTTTATTAAAAGTGTGAATGGGCTCAATCAGTGGGACACGGGCTGATACTTTTTTAAAATTTTCCTTTCTCAGCAGTTAAATGTGGGTTCATATGGAAAGAAGGTAAAATTTGATGACTGGCGTACGAGCCGCTTAGGACATCCAGTTTGCCCCAGACTTTGGTCTAGTCCAGCCCTTCTTAAACAGAGTCCTCTCCGTGAGTGTGTGCGGCTGTTGGGGTAGGGGCCAAGGGAAGCAGGTGAAAACAAGGAAGGTTAGTGTGGAAAAGAGAAAAATGTTGTAAAGCATGCTGGAGGATTGGGGCTCACGGGCCAAATCAGTATGACTGCAGTTGTTTTTAGTACTGGCTGCTATATACTACTATTTCCCTCAAAGTTGCCCACTCAGGAGACTAGACGCAATGAAAGCTGGAGGAGCTCAGGCCAGTTTCTTAGGCTCCCCGGGAATGTCTTGGTTTTCAGGATTGCTCCCTGTTCGGCATTCATTATCCAGCAGGGTCCAAGGGGAAGCCTCAGCACCGCATACAGGTTTAGCAGAGGGACTGGATTCCCACTTCCAGCTCAGGACACATGGGTCTGTGTACCATGGCTACGATTAATAATGTTATTAGGTCTAAAAGTAAGATTGTGACTCTGAAGCCGTCAGGGAGAGATCATGCCTCGGTTTTACAGGTGCCTTGTAGATTTCCACATGGGAGATGCCTGCGAACTGTAAGCCTGGGGATAAGATTTTATCGATCTGGGTGGTGATGGCTGCATTCCTTTACACCCAGCACTCGGGAAACAGAGGCAGGTGGATCTCTGAGTTCAAGGCCAGCTTGGTCTACAGAGAGAGTTCCAGGAGAGCCAGGGCTACACAGAGAAACCCCGTCTTGAAAACAACAAGCAAACAGGATTTTATTTTGTGACTTGGCTGTGCATTATTTCGTTCATCTGTGGGCGTTAAGTTCCGCCTTTAGTGAAAGGATGATGGACACTGACTGCTCTTCTAGGGTTGCTAAAAGGACAGTGACTGCTTTTTATCACCTGTAATTTTCGTATGCCATCTTCCAACCAGGCAGTGAGCCCTGTAGTGAGATCCTACCTGACTAACGAAGGAGCAGACTCTAAGGAGTGCCAACGCCCAAAGCTATATCACAGACAAGTAACAGGAGCTAGAGGGGCCAGACACAAGTCTTAACTACAGTCACATCATCTGCAAGTGCCCTGAATGCTCACGCTGTTTTCCAAGAATTCTGTAAAGAAATGGACCTATCAGGTCAGGCCACTATAATGGTGACTTTCAGAAGGCCTATGGCACTGGTTAGCCTTGTCATACTTTTTGGTTGTTGTTCATTCGATTTTTTTAGGTGGTGCTATGGTTTGAACCTAGAGCCTTGTGCTAGGCAAGCACTCTCTCACAGAGTCACATTCTTACCCTCCCCCTTTTTTTCAAAAATTATTTTTTTCTGTTTGTTTTTGGAGACTAGGCCTCTATAGTTCAGGCTGGCCTTATACTGGCAGAGGATGGCCTTGAACTTCTGATCTTCCATTTCCAAAGCTCTGGCACTTTGGGGCACTGGGGATAGAACCCAGGACTTACGTGTTAGGAGAACACCCTCCCAACTCTGCCACGTGC